CCGAGAAGGCCACAGCAAGCAAACTCACTGCAAAAGTAGAGTAATACACCACCAGGCGTTGCATTACCCAAGGAAACCAGCCGCCCGGCACCGACATATTTCATACCTCTCCGTAAGACCCGCGATGCCTGACGGACGTGACAACGTTCCGTCACTTCCTCCCAATCGGTCAGTTTGAACCCTAACGACAATTCCTTTCTTGACGCGTCAGTTGACACCGTGACTCCAACCGCCTCCGGAACACCCGTATCGAAGCCTACCCAACGGTCCCCAGTTGCACCGACCTTTCTTCTGTCCAGCCAGCACCGCACCTCCTGGGGGTGCGCCGGCAGCCCCCGGAAAGAGCGCATTTCCTGCACCATCATTAGGAACCACCCCTTTTAAATCAATGAACGCCTTGAGCGTAAAACAGGAATTTTTTTTTTCAAATCCCCTTTATCAAATCTTATTCTCCGCCTTCAAGTGCCCCCCCAATGTCCCCGCGAAGGACACGTGCCCATTTTGTTGCACCGCGCCTGGAATATTGCCACGCATCTAACTGTTCTCCTGACCCGTCAGATGTCCCCGGTACCGGTACACAGTATTCCCCTTCCCTTACCCGGCACGCCGTCACCACCACCCTTACTTCGGCCTCCCGACTGCGCTCTGGTGACCCCACTCTTCCGCACCGCGGAGACGGCCCCTTTTTTCCTTGATCATGACTCTAAAATGATTTTTGCAATTTAAAAAAGTGTGGTGTGTTTATTGACTCACCGCCCGAACCCCTGTCTGCGCTGTCCTTCCATCCACCTTGCCAGGCTCTGGAGTATCCGGTGGATGCCGACTCCTGTCCGCGCTGGTCCAGCCTCAAGCCCGTAGAAGTAACACTCCTCGACCTGCTCCTCCATCCCTCAGCCGACCTCCCGCTGCTGCTGTGCCTGTCATTGTCGTTGCGCTGTTCCCTCCCGTACTCACACCTGCTGATGCTACTCCTGTGTTCCTGCTCCTGAGAACGCCCCCCAGGGGGCTCCCGCTTGCCTTTGTGCCTTACGTCCATTTCCACCCGTCCATGTCCTCTCTTCTGCCCTCTGCTTGCAGTACCTGGCCTCTCCCCGGCCGCCTCATCCACTTGTGGCCCCTTTAATTAATCCTGGTTGCTGGCCTTCCCCTCCATAGCTGCTCTGCTGCGCCTGTGAAGACTCCGTCTGCTGCTTTCACTATCCCCTTCCTTCACCTCTGACCTGACCCTGGCCCCATCCAGGGCCGCCTCCGTCTGTGTCCCGCCGACCTGGACCCCCCCCCGCCTGCCCATTGGGGGGACGGGACCGCTTTTACACTGCTGGGCCCTTGCATCATTCCCCCTGTCACTCAGGTATGCCACCAGGGGCAGACTCACCAGGACGCCTCTTGCCGCTCTCCCTGCCTGGCGGCCATCATGTCATGCTGGATTCCGCCGTCCTTTGTGCTTTCCCGCCCCCCCCGCCTTATTGCAGGGGGCGCTCTTCCTGTGCGGCCTCATCCTGACCTGCCATCTTGCCTGACCGGCACCACGTCGAACATACGGCGCCAGCCGCCCTCCAACTCCTGCCTGCTTTCCGACCTCATTTTCAGCCTTCCCCTTGCCGCCTCCTGACAGGCTCACGGGCTGCCGAACTAACGATGTCACTCACAGGCTGCCGCTGGGGCGTCCTCGCTCTCCTTGCTGGCCTCTGTTCCACCGCCGCGTGGGGGGGGTAGCAGACGTGCTCGGGGCCCCCCAGCTGCTCCTGCAGCCACCAGCCACGATTCTGCCACAACCTTTGTGACCAGGATGGTGGCTTGCTTGGAGTTCTGTCTGAGGCTGATGGGAGTGAGCATGCAGCAGCAGCAGCTCACTCCAGCCTCTCCTGTACCTCCATGCTGTCTCCTGTACCTCCATGCTGCCTCTGTTCTTCTATGCTGCCTCCATGCTGCAGATGGGAGTGAGCATGCAGTAGCAGCAGCTCACTCCAGCCTCTCCTGTACCTCCATGCTGTCTCCTGTCTCAGTACTGCCTGTTCTCCATACTGCTGATGGGAGTGATCATGTAGTAGCAGCTCACTCCAGCCTCTCCTGTACCTCCATGCTGCCTCCTGTCTCAGTACTGCCTGTTCTTCATGCTGCCTCCATGCTGCCTGTTCTGCTATGCTGGCTGTATCTCCATGCTGCCTCCATGCTGCCTGTTCTTCTATGCTGCCTGTATCTCCATGCTGCCTGTTCTTCTATGTTGCCTGTATCTCCATGCTGCCTGTTCTGCTATGCTGCCTCCATGCTGCCTGTTCTTCATGCTGCCTCCATGCTGCCTGTTCTTCATGCTGCCTCCATGCTGCCTGTTCTTCATGCTGCCTCCATGCTGCCTGTTCTTCATGCTGCCTGTTCTTCATGCTGCCTCCATGCTGCCTGTTCTTCATGCTGCCTCCATGCTGCCTGTATCTCCATGCTGCCTGTTCTCCATGCTGCCTGTATCTCCATGCTGCCTGTATCTCCATGCTGCCTGTTCTTCATGCTGCCTCCATGCTGCCTGTTCTTCATGCTGCCTCCATGCTGCCTGTTCTTCATGCTGCCTCCATGCTGCCACTGTCATACCACTCACTGTCTGCAATCAGGGGTAAGTAACCTTTGTCACACTCACAGCACTCGCTGTAATCACTGCAATTAATCACTTTTCTCAGAACCTAGATGTGGCACAGGCCGCTGGTCACAATACCTGCTCCTCTCTGTCTGCTTGTTCTGCCTCCTTTGCTCTTGCTTGTCTCTGCTTGCTCTGCTGCTCCCTACTTGCTTTGCTCTGCTTCTTCTCTGCTTGCTCTGCTCCGCTCCTCTCTGCTCTGCCTCCTCTCTGCTTGCTTGCTCTGCTCTGCTCCTCTCTGCTTTGTCCTGCTCCTCTCTACTTGCTCTGCTCTGCTCCTCTCTGCGTGCTCTGCCTCCTGTTACGGTATAACCCGGTATAGTGAGGGTTAATACCAGTCAAGGGATTCACCTTGCGAAGAGTGCAGCAGGGACAGGGAGAGAGCTAGAGGTAGGGCCGGAGCCAGAGGCAGGGCCGGAGCCAGAGCAAGAGGCAGAGGCAGGGCCGGAGCCAGAGACAGGGCCGGAGCCAGAGGCAGGGCCGGAGCCAGAGACAGAGGCAGTGCCAGAGCCAGCGGCAGGGCCGGAGCCAGAGACAGGGCCGGAGCCAGAGGCAGGGCCGGAGCCAGAGGCAGGGCCGGAGCCAGAGCAAGAGGCAGAGGCAGGGCCGGAGCCAGAGACAGGGCCGGAGCCAGAGGCAGGGCCAGAGCCAGAGACAGACGCAGTGCCAGAGCCAGCGGCAGGGCCGGAGCCAGAGACAGGGCCGGAGCCAGAGGCAGGGCCGGAGCCAGAGGCAGGGCCGGAGCCAGAGCAAGAGGCAGAGGCAGGGCCGGAGCCAGAGACAGGGCCGGAGCCAGAGGCAGGGCCAGAGCCAGAGACAGACGCAGTGCCAGAGCCAGCGGCAGGGCCGGAGCCAGAGACAGGGCCGGAGCCAGAGGCAGGGCCGGAGCCAGAGGCAGGGCCGGAGCCAGAGCAAGAGGCAGAGGCAGGGCCGGAGCCAGAGACAGGGCCGGAGCCAGAGGCAGGGCCAGAGCCAGAGACAGACGCAGTGCCAGAGCCAGCGGCAGGGCCGGAGACAGAGGCAGTGCCAGAGGCAGGGCCGGAGGCAGAGGCAGGGCCTGAGCCAGAGACAGGGCCAGAGCCAGAGACAGAGACAGGGCCGGATGCAGAGCCGGAGCCAGAGACAGAGCCAGAGGCAGGGCCGGAGCCAGAGCAAGAGGCAGAGGCAGAGCAAGAGGCAGGGCCGGAGCCAGAGACAGAGCAAGAGGCAGGGCCGGAGCCAGAGGCAGGGCCGGAGCCAGAGACAGAGCAAGAGGCAGGGCCAGAGACAGGGCCGGAGGCAGAGACAGAGGCAGTGCCAGAGCCAGAGACAGGGCCGGAGGCAGAGGCAGGGCCGGAGCCAGAGACAGAGGCAGTGCCAGAGCCAGAGACAGGGCCGGAGGCAGAGCCGGAGCCAGAGACAGAGCCAGAGGCAGGGCCGGAGGCAGAGCCGGAGCCAGAGACAGAGCCAGAGGCAGGGCCGGAGCCAGAGACAGAGGCAGGGCCGGAGCCAGAGACAGAGCCAGAGGCAGGGCCGGAGCCAGAGGCAGGGCCGGAGCCAGAGGCAGAGCAAGAGCCAGAGCCAGAGGCAGGGCCGGAGCCAGAGGCAGGGCCGGAGCCAGAGACAGAGCAAGAGGCAGGGCCAGAGACAGAGGCAGGGCCGGAGCCAGAGACAGTGCCGGAGGCAGAGCCAGAGGCAGGGCCGGAGCCAGAGGCAGGGGATTCAGATTTTTCCTTTTTTTGCTGGGTGCAGACGGCCCTGGGTTTAGGGCAGCCTGGGGGGCAATTGCCTCCCTGCCCCCCTTCCCAGCCCGCCCCTGGTCCTGGGAGACTCTCGCATGTTGAATGCAGCTCCCTGGCACCCGCAGAAATCACCGGAAATCATGATTTACATTATATTGTGTATGATTTGCGCCCCTTAACATCCCCATACAACTCATTAAACAAGGGCCCCGTGGTTTGCTGGCCCATTAAGAGCCGGGGCCCTGTGATATCAGCTGGCAGGGAGGAAGTGATGACAGCCTATCACTTTCTCCCTGCTTCACACAGAGCTGCCATCCGGGAGGAGGCAGCAGCATGGAGGCAGAGCAAAGGGCTGGAGTGAGTTTCTGCTGCATGCTCACTCCCATCAGCCTCAGCCTGCAACAAAACTCTCAGCAAGCCACCCTCCTGGGCACAAAGGTAAGCTAACAGGAAGGTGGCTGCAAATCTATAAAGTATGACTTGTGTGCATGTCAATATGTGTGTGTGTGTGTGTGAGTGTATGTGCCAGTATGTGTATCTGTGTGTGTGTTTCAGTGTGTGTATCTGTGTTTCAGTGTGTGTATCTGTGTTTCAGTGTGTGTATCTGTGTTTCAGTGTGTGTATCTGAGTGTATGCTTCAGTGTGGGTTTCTGAGGGCTCACCAAAAGTTTGTAATTGCCACTTCCACCAAAGTTGATATCTCAACTGTTAAGATTCCAAAGCATCTGAATGATACTTCAAGAAGAAGAGGCTGCGCAGACCCAAGAACCAGGAGGGAGAGATTTTTGACACAGAGAAGGAAAAACACAACAGCGCAAAGCAGATCAGAAATTCGTGGACTCTCAGCTCCTGCCATTGGTCAGGAAAGAGCCCCAGCTGCGTGGATACCTGCACTCAGTATTTTGGAATGTACCTTCACAAACTGGTCTTCTAATTAGATTCACAAAGACCTATACAAATATTGTAAAACTGTCTGACAGGTTCACTGTTCATTATAATCCATAAAATGTATTATGAATATAATTGGTTGCACGGTCACTCACACAGTCTTCAGTAAGCACACAATGTCACTTACACACTCTCACTAACGCACACTCTTACTGAACTATACACACAATGTCACTTACACACTCTCACTAACACACACTCTTACTGAACTATACACACAATGTCACTTACACACTCTCACTAACACACACTCTTACTGAACTATACACACAATGTCACTTACACACTCTCACTAACACACTCTTACTGAACTATACACACAATGTCACTTACACACTCTCACTAACACACACTCTTACTGAACTATACACACAATGTCACTTACACACTCTCACTAACACACACTCTTACTGAACTATACACACAATGTCACTTACACACTGTCACTAACACACACTCTTACTGAACTATACACACAATGTCACTTACACACTCTCACTAACACACACTATTATTAAGTATACACACAATGTCACAAACTCTCACTAACAGACACTATTATTAAGTATACACACAATGTGACACACTCTCACTAACAGACACTATTATTAAGTATACACACAATGTCACAAACTCTCACTAACAGACACTATTATTAAGTATACACACAATGTCACAAACTCTCACTAACAGACACTATTATTAAGTATACACACAATGTCACAAACTCTCACTAACAGACACTATTATTAAGTATACACACAATGTGACACACTCTCACTAACAGACACTATTATTAAGTATACACACAATGTGACACACTCTCACTAACACACACTAGTATGTATATACATTATGTCACAAACTCTCACTAACACACACTAAGTATACACACAATGTCACTGACACACTCAATAACACACACTCTTAATAAAGTCTACACACACAATGTCACTCACACCAGTTTAGTCACACTTTACACACAAACACACACAATATGATCAGCCCCCATAGGCTCCATGTGGGCCATACCTGTGCTGGTGCTGTGGAACCATACTCCAGGGTGCAGGAAGTCTCCCCTTTGTTTCTGCTGGGGGCAAGCAGGAGAGCGGTGTGCGGTGTACAGTGAGCACAGCCTGCTCCATCCTCCCTCCAGTGTCTGTGCATGTTTCCATCTGCTCAGGGGCACATGGAAGGAGCCCAGCGAGCAGTAACTTCATTTCCAGTTGTGGGGGGCACAGCCTGATCTAGGGGGGGCCATGGCTCCCTCCCTAGTGATGCCACTACGCAGTACTGTGTCACACCTAGGACTAAGGACGTATAACCGGACCTTAAAATGGCCAGACTTAACATCTCCAAGAATAGTCAAAATACTTGCCGAGGTCAGGGACACAGAATGAGACACAACGATGAAGGGAAAGCCAAAAGTCAAGGATACCAGATATCGGGGAAGTCAAAACAAAGCCAAAGTCAAATACCAGAAAGTCATGTTTAGGCACGCACTCTCGGATAACCATAGACATGAAACCACGACAGGGCACTGAGCAAGAGGAGAACTGGGCCTAAATACCCCTCCTGTGGATCCAATTGGCTGTAAAGGGCCTTTGACCCCAAAGGCAATTACCAGGTGTGCATGATTGCTGCTCAGCACAAACCCACCTGTGGATTTGATTGGCCATGCACATTACCTTTGACCCCAAAAGTAATTACCAGATTTGCATGATTGCTGCTTGGCACAACCTTTCCAGTCAGGACGGTAATGTTGCTCGGCACAACTTTTCCTGTCAGGACAGTAAATGCCATTAACCACATTTTCAATGAATACGTGACAGGTACCCCACTGGTGACAAGCCCATGCTTCGAATATACTCCATTGACTACAACCCTCTGTTGCCTGTCACTCAGCCACTGCCCTACTCGTTCTACAATATTGGAGTCCAAACTTTGCATGTCATCCGCATATAAATGATAGAGAAAGCAAAAGGAGATGATGAGTTTACCAAAGGAGGCAGTATAGATTGAGAATTGTAGGGGACCAAGGACAGAATCTTGGGGAACATCAACAGAGATGGGTTGGGGAGAAGAGGCATACATTTATACTGGAGAAAGTCAGATGCAGATTGAGACTTTCTCTAGTAGCGTTCCACAATTCTGGAACATTTTTGGAGTCGAATCAGCTTTGTGTGCATCCAAGCAATGTATATAAAAGAGCTTCAAAGGCTAGATATCAGCTTATGGGCAGGGCCCTCTCTACCTTTTGTACTTATATGTATATTGTACGTTCTCTCCTAATTTTACAGCACTGCAGAATATGTTGGCGCTTTATAAATACCAGTAATAAATAAAGAAGGTTGTACATTGGCTCCCTGTTAGATATAGGGCTCAATTTAAAATTCTGGTGCTTGCTTACAAGTCCCTACATAATGCTGCTCCAACCTACCTATGTTCCCTAATACACAGGTATGTCCCGTCGAGGCCTCTACGCTCTGCCAAAGACCTACGTATATCCTATGTCCGTACTCCCACCTCTAATGCTCGCCTCCAAGATTTCTCCAGTACTGCACCTCTTCTGTGGAACTCCCTTCCCTCCTCTGTAAGACTTTCACCCAGTCTCCACTCATTCAAAAAATCATTAAAAACTCACTTCTTCAAGAAAGCAAATCAATAAACTGTTAGCAGGTGTTTATCCCCCAACCCCCATGACTCCTCACCTGCAACTGTCAAAAATTACCTACTAAGCCCTAAATGAATACGTTTCTAACAACCTACTTCGTGCGCCTACTTTTACCCTTTGTGTCACTATACCCCACTCCTAGAATGTAAGCTCATTGAGCAGGGCCCTCCACCTCTCTGTTCCTGTACGTCCAGTTGTCTGGTTACAATTACATGTCTGTTGGACCACCCATTGTACAGCGCTACGGAATGTGATGGCGTTATATAAATAATAAAATAATAATGATAATATATCCTCGGGGTCTGCAGAGAAATTGCTATATCTGAGGATCTGTATCTGAGGATTTAGACTCTATTACCTCTCTGAGAACAGAAAATGGCTGCCACACGCGGTGATGGAAAGCAGGACTTCCCAATAATCAAAATGTTATCTAAACACATATAATATAATGACAAAATCATGCGTGGCAGACAAAACCAGCAAAGAATATAGTGAATATATATATGTCCAGCAAACAGCAAAGAGTGAGGGGGATATTTGTGGGATCACCTGATTTATAACCTACGCTTTAAGCTGATTGGCTGTTTCTCTTACGTATGAGCATGATTGGTCGCACACTGATTTTTCTTCACCTGTATTTGTTATTAACCTTTTAGCTGCTCTGACGAATAAAGATTCATCGTTATTTTTTAGCAGACCGGAGGCTCATATTTTGAATTTAACGCCATTTTAACAGTGGCTGCTGACATATGTTTGGGCTGTCTTTTTACTCTTTAACATTGTTTTTATCTAATGCTACATTTAATTCTTTGTTTATGTTGTTGCAAGTTGATTCATTGCAAATAATTTCATATTGAATATATTTATTTGCATAGAAATACTTATTCTTCACCAAGAGGCTGTTTAATGAATTTTAACGCATACTGCTACATTTATGGCCAATACACTTTGGCAAAAACAAAAGACATATCAAATATATCATATATAAAATCAATATATATCAATATTTAAATAATAATCTGAATATATTTTAAACATTTGTCCAAAATAGTAAATGGAGGCGTTCAAAGACAAGCATTTCTTCCTTATTTTGGATTGAAGTTTGGAGACCAAGGAAACTGTGGAATGTCTACGATAGTGGCAAAATGGATGAAGTAAAATAAGGTTTTTCTAAAAGGCAGACGGTGCAGACATGTGACGGCAGATTACTGCCGGGGCTCCAGCATGATTGTCTTGATAACTCACATGAAAGAAAAGCATATAGACAGAGCTTTCTACGCACTACGTGTGATTAGCGTACTTCGTTTTATGTTATCTGCTGAATACACCTTTAGCTAGTTGTAGGATGTCAGACAGTTTCCATGGGATTTTGTGTGCCTTAACATTTGCATTTTTGCATTTTTTTCATGTTAGTCAATAGTGGCATCCATTATCTCAAAACTTAGAGCCAAGGTAGAAAACCTGATGCCATATTCAGAATTAGCGTCACAGTAACCGTAAGATCCATCTAATATATTTGGCAATGAGATCAGTCTTGACCTGTATTATATAGTTAATATATATAATATATAAATAAGGATTTTATTAGTGCCCCATCTCTTGTTCCCTCTAGTTCTGTGAATAAAATGTACTGCAAAGGATCTCTCTAATATTATATTATGTATATATGTGTTGCAGGACACTGATTGGTCCGTATTTGTTTCCTGAATCTGTTTTTCGTTACTGAAATTCTGCCGAGTTTTTCTGATATATGGCTGAAATTCTTCTGTCCTGAAAAAACATGTATTTTCAGAATAATTTTTTGCCAACGCAGACGCCTAGTAATTACATCACTAGGGCTCACTAAACATTAAAACGAGCCATTTTTATTCTCACTGTCCCCTTATTTAACTCACAAACAGAAACTACATTATTGGCTTGTAGAGGCCCCGTTAACGTGTTATATGGCTGAGTGCTCTGTGTATACAGGAGCTGGCAAACCTCCTGAAACAATGCATTGCTTAGTTATTGGAATGGAAGCATTGTTTGGAGAAAGCACTTTCTCTCATCAAACACAATGGGTTACCAGTAAGTGACCTTCATGAAGACACCCACCCAGGTGTCCCAGGGGTTATAATGGACCCAAAGCCCTGCCCCCATTGTTCTCAACTGATGTAAATCTTTTTATAAACTCGTAATGTTCCATATGTATAAATGAATCACAGAGCTCCACAACAATAAAACTTACAGCAATGTGCAGTGCTTGTGACCTCAGAGACCAATAGTACCAGCTAAACCCCCCTACCATTGGCATCAGGTGGAGGCTGCGTCATGACCACTTAGTTTCAATGTAAAACATCCATCCATTCATCCATTGCAGGGTTAAACACACCTCTAGTATCTTCTTAACAGCTACGAGAGGCGCTTCCTTCTGCAGAACTAAATTCTGCTAATAACAATAGGCCCTCCCATCGAATGATGTCAGAGGGGGCGGAGTGCGA